CTCTGGCATGGGTTTAGTTAACACATGTTGCAAAAAATGTTACTCTTTCATACACCAAACAGATTTAGAATTAATTACAGCAGTCTGGATTGGTCCTTACTGAGAACAAGATGTCCAAGATGTCTCTTCACACATACTGAGACAGACTACAGCAGGAGAGAGAAGAGCACCATCGTTTCGTGAGGATTCTATATCAGCACTGCTGCTAGAAAGGGGCTGGGGAAGGGGGAGAAGTCTGCTCCTCCCTTTGCTATGTATTCTTAATCCTCAGCTGTCCCTTCCTTCATGCTAGCACAAATGTTCACCAAGTCCTACAATAAACTGGATCAAAAAATAACTCAGTTTAAAATTAAACCAGCAAATCAAACTGATCTTAGTTTTAATCTAATTCACCATACGGTGGCAGAAATGTTCCCTGTGGTTAAGGACAAGTGATTTGGGTCAGTTGTCCCTCATGTAAAATCTGATTGGAATAAATATTTAATACAAAATACAATTTTGCTTTTTTTTCTTATTCTATTGCCACCTCCATGGGTCTCTCCATGACTGATTCTCTCATTTTCATTGACACTTAGCAAAAAAAGATGACTACTTTATGTTGCATATGGATCAACACCCTGCTCATGGTCCTCCAGCAAAACACAATCCTTCCAATCTGCTTTATAATAAACCAAGACATTTAACATGTGGCACAACATGGCTCACTTACTAGCATAGGCTAAAACATACAAATGATTGTGTAGAGGAACAACTTTGTTTTTCCAGTGTATGTGCAACCCTGAGTTAGGAAAACACACCAATTTTGGAAAAGAAGAGAGGATTATTTAAGAATCTTGCACTATTACTACCACTCTTTGTTTTCACACAGAGAATCCATAGGTGGCAGTTCCCTAGATAAACAGAGCTCTGAGTCTCCTTCAGATGTCAAGGAGGCAGATAGACACATCTTTGACATTTTTGGACAAATCTTTGGACAACAACAGTAGAAGAAGGTCAGGAATATGTTGGCTGTGTCACAGAGGAATCTGGGAGGTGCAATGTACTGAAGAACAAGGGGTGACAGGCTGTGAAATGGGGGTGGGAGCCACATGCTAGGCTCTTCAGAACATCCTACATAGGCAAAATCAGGAGAGAAGTGCTTTTTTGACACAGCAATCAAAAGTGTAAGGAGAAAGGAGAAAGCCAGGCTAAGATGTGGTCTACCCTGCTGTCGCAGGGGCTTTAGTCTCCTCCGACTCCTGACAAGAAGGTTTGCCTTAAGGAAGACAGATTTCCCTGCACTGCTAGATGAACAAGTTCATAATTGTAACTGGCCTTTGTGAGAGGAAGAGAGAGCATGAAGGAGGGCTCACATGATGCCATACCATCTGGACGTGGACAACAGTCACCATTTGATACCTATCTCAATACAGGGGAGCACTACGGCACCTGAATCACTGGTAAGTTACATTTATTCCTCCAACTTCTGAGGTCTATGCAGTTCTCTTACCTTTGGTTGTACAGAATACATCCCTTTTCCAGACTCAGCTGTGCTGGGAAGATGATGTATCTGGCTATTATTACTTTTTTCTGACTTGTAGGCAACTTTTTCCTATGAAATCACGACAGAGAAGCTGAATCAGCTGGACTGCATTCACAAATTACATCAAACACAATTTTTACCTAGGTAGTGCTAGGTGAAAATGCTTGAAAATGATAGCAAACATCTGGAAAAAAACTATACATTAAATCTTATACCTGAATGGAATGAAGCAGGAAACACCTACTAATATTATTACTCACTTCATCTGTGAAAATGTATTAAAACTCTGTTGTTGATACAGTTTGACAAAAGGTAAGATGATTCATGTTTACTAAATTTGTTTTTCTATTCTAGATATTTTGGATCCAAAAGAAATGGTTGGAAAATAAGTAGAACATCTTGTGGTTGTGGGTGTTTATTTTTTATGTTTGTTTGCATTCTAAGAAATGTGCACCTATCATCTTCTAACATTTCTGCTGAGAGGAGGTTCACAAGGTATTTCTAAAAGAACTACTTGATTGAAACTCTTCAAAAACTTTCAGTTTAATGAATTTTGCAAAACTAACAGAATTCAAAGAACATTTACCCAGATTTAGTGGAAGGAAAAAAAAGAGGGAGAAACTTTGAGTAAGATCTCTCATCTGTTCAAGGAGGGAAACACACAAGATCTTTTGTCATTGTTTGCTCTACTTTACAAACTGGTCTACCTCCCAGCAGAAAAATATCATTTGTCTTTCCTGTTTGATCAATTCTATTGTATCATATTTCAGATGGTTTCTTTGTTCTTCAGAGTCTGAAGATTTTTAATGACATGAGAACTATTATTGACTTGGCCACAAGGACTGTAATCATAAAAAAAAAATCTGGTGAGACAAATTGAGATACCTAAGCATTAAATACAGAGAAGCTTACATACACTGAGGAACATTAGATATGTGTTTTACACACAAAGACAATCAATCATGCTTTAAGTCCTTTTCTGCTCTTATTAAGTCTCAGGAAAGCTCATCTCTAACTTTTTAGAAATTAGAGTAAGATTCAAATGTAAATAAAATAAAAACCAAACCACAGGGGGAAATAAGATTCTTGATATCCCAAATGTGTGGGACCAACACACACTCAAAGCCCTTGCTTACAATGTACATAAGCACTGTGAACACTGAGTGTGTGAATTTATTCTTCACTGAGTGAAGGATTCAGTACAGCAGAAACAACTTTAATTCAAATGAGATGGTTTTTTCACAGCTTTTTGGCTTCCTCTCAAGAGGACAATGCCACACATGAGTGGAGACAGACCAGTAATTCTCTGAAGTAGCAGGACAAACTGGTTTAAAATGCAAAGAGCAGGTTTCTACCCAGAGGATCACAGGAAGTGGTAACACAGCTTTTTACCTCTGTGGTTTGCACTGGTGCCTTACTGGTCTCTTGGGCAAAACAAAAGTGAGAGGAGGAAAGGGATCAAACATGAAAGACAGATTACATTGGTCTGTATCTTGTAAAGTACACCCAAACTCTCTATCAGAAATTAAAGAGTTCTTCACAGAATTCCTGAGCTAATTACCTCAGGAAATGGCATTTGGGCATCTTTGTTCCTACTAGAAAAAAACATGGGAAAAGGTTTGTTCCCCTTATTAAATCCCATAGCTCTAAGTTACAGCTTCATTATTTAGCTACTCAAAAGATACAGAATTTCACATTAACAGAATATCTGAGAATAACTAACACAGACCAGGGATATTAAAACTGTGTTTCAGATCTCTTCAAATATATCTTGAATTATTCACAAATTGAAAGCTTCAGAATCAAAACTAAGTTCAGTTTAATGCAGAAATAATGAGATTAGAAATAATGATATCTTATGATGGTAAACTGATTAATAATGTATCAAGATTAAGTTTAGAGGAATGAAGGAACAGTAAATGTTATCTTCTGAAATCGTTTCCTTTTCCTAGTCTGAAAGCAGCTGGAATAACACAGACAACTTCTCTCTTATCAACAAAAAAAAAAAAAATCTGTAACAATTACAGCCCCTAAATCAATTTGTCTGCTTTTGACCATGTTGTTCAAGAACCTAGGACACACAAGTTGCCCTTCGTAAGTGGCACCTACCAGCAAGACCTGGTTTCTGCAGGTCAGGTACAGAGCAGCTTCAAAACATACATCCACGAACCCTTACTACTTCCTTTCCAGAGACTTTTTTCCTAATTGCCTATGTGAAATTTTCACTCATTTCCCTGAAAGTCACTTAGGTCACTTACTGGAACTTGCTTTGCTGAGGGCTATGTGACTTCATGCTAGGACTCAGACATCCAGAACTCAGGTGGAGGGGAGATGATGTCACAATGCCCATGTTTCTTTGGTTCTGAGAAACAGATATTCCTCCACCAATTTCTTCTCATTCCTTTCATAAGACAATATGTATGGTTTTTAATAAATATGCATTTATTATCTTGCCTTAATAATGTAAGCTCTGTACAGCTAAGCAGCAATTTGTCAAGCCATACTTTTACTTTAGACAGCAGCACATTTTTGGCCTAATTACCTTGAATAGGGCTATATAGTCCTTTATTAATGCAACTCACTCAGTCATGACCACATCCCTGAAGTAATACAGGGAGAAATTCACCTGCTGTGTCATCTGCCAAAGTCAACGTGCTTGGATAGATTATTTACACTGTGCACCAGGAAGTTTGAAAGCTCAGTCTTGTTCTGCAGTAACTATCACTTCAAAGCCTTACCAAATCCACCAGCTCTGCCTGGTATCGTGGTCTTCAACGAAGACCAAGGACCTCAAAGCAAAATCCTCCCTGCCTGAGCCTGACCGACGCTGCCGACTCCCAGCAACAGTACACACATGCCAAAGGATCTGCAGGACTGCAGCCAAAATTTAGAAGTGATTTTCAGAATGAGTACAGTCAATGAATATATTATATGAAATATTTTATTTTAGTTTTTTTTTTAAAAAAACAACATTCTAAAAAGCGTTTGTATCTATAATACACAAAAAATAATTAAAATCCACATGTAAGACGTGCAAATATTAACAGATTTTGAGAGTGGTGATGAACTTTCAAGAAGGGGATGGAAAGTAGTAACTTTTTCAAGAAATAGTTTTTCAACTGTGACTTTCACTTGTGTTAAGAATATGAGATATCAAATTCTGTAACTGACATAGTGCTGTCGACACTATTTTAATGCCAAGAGTTTGGATATCAGAGAATTAAAATGTTCACAAACCAACACCTCTGAGATATATAAAAGAGCTGGTGATCCAGATGTCACTTTGATTAAATAATATTATTATTCAGTAGCACTTAAAGATGCCTCTTATTTTGTAAAGCTCGTTATACTATTAGACACATACATAAATGACAGTCCTCCAAAACCATGATGCCAGGAAGCTTTTGCTGCCCCTCCTCTATTTATAAGTGAAGTATTTTCCAAAGTCTCCTTCACGTGGCACCTTGTCACTGACCACTTAACTGCTGGTAGCACTGGGATGCAGTGGTTTGACTCTTGCTAGTCTGGAGAGTCCAAGTCTAAGACACGGAGCAGGTGACTTAACCGAAATGTATTTCACAGAGTTATTACTGCTTCCTGATGCAGCTGAAAATAATGTTAAAAGAAAAAGGTGTAAGAGGTTTAGAGAGGATTAAAAAAACCCAAGACATCATGTAATTGTTGTCTTTTTATAGTTTACATAGCAGAACAAAAGAAGTATTCTGAAGATACTGCAAAAATACCTGAACAACCTACCACAGAAGCACATGAAAATCAGCACACTCACCAGGACTCAATCTGCTTTGGAGCCAGTGCAGCAGCTAGGTTGGACAGTTTTAATTAACCAACAAACTGGAGCAACACTGGACAAGCACGTGAAAGCTGCTCCCAGTGTACTGCACGTTTTCAGGTGCTCCACAGAGAATCACACAACCAAACAATTCCAAGTGGGAAAGGAAGGCTTGAGAGAAAGGAGACAAACAGAAAGAAATGTGTACAGAGGAGTAAACATGTAGGAAAACCAAAGCGGCAGGAGCCAGCAGGAGCACACTCAGACAACCTGAATAAAGCTTCTAAGCATCTGCTTTACTAGGGCAGTTAAAATACTCCAACATTTTCCTGATAGGATTTGTTTAGAATAGATACTAATGCAGCATGTACCAGAGATAAAGAAGGCTCTTAGCAAGAGAGAAATGGCCACAAGACGATCTCTTGATTAAGATCTGATCCACACTCGGGAAAATATTTTATTAATCTCCCCACATAAAAGAGTTAAGGATAATGCTGTAAGAGGAAAAGAAGCAAGGAGGTAGCTTTTCTTTTTTCAAGTCTAAGACCAAAAGACTACCTTTCATTATAAGAGGGCAGTCATTTTTCTGAAATGCTGTATATATTTTTGTTTGCTTTTAGCATAGATTGCTAAAAACTTCAGTCAACCACTTTCTCTGTTTATAGTTACAATCTCACAGGTACCTGGTGGTATCCATTTAGGCTTCTTGTCTGTTACAGGACTTGATGTGTGCAGAGGCCTCCCAACTGGTTCTGCAGAACTGGACATCTTACTTTGTGCTGGCTCAGATTTTTGTTCTGTTATCCATGAAGGAGAAACTACAGGTGATGCTTAATTGGAAAACAAAAGGGACCTTAGAAAGAGACTCTTTAGCAGAGAAATTATCATACTGTGTAAAATGATAGATCACTGTACAGCACCAGCTCTCAGCATTGACTGAAATATTGAGCATGTTACTAGATTGTCACATCTTTAACAGTTCATATTTATAGTCAGTCCTGTTAACTCTGAAATTTCAATCCTGCTTTGAGAATAATCACTGTAACAATTTCTTCTTGAAGACTTGCCCAATACCAAATTTCTAAGAGGGAAGATTCTCCTGTCAGCTACACAAAGTAAACCATTCCTTGTCGTAACTGGAACTAATTTTAAACTAAATTACATGCTGTAAACTCAGGTTTGAAATTAAAAGGCATTACCAAATCAGATTAACACCATGATAAGAATTTTCTGAAACTGTTTAAAGTAAATTGTATTAGTGACACAGTGAACAATTAACTCTGAAAGGGCATGCATATTTAAAGTTTTCTGCCAAGTGGTTGGTAGAACTAGCATTGTTTAGCTATCTTTGAATTAAAAATTACTAAATGCAATGGAGATTATAATTTAAAAAAAATAATCCTCAGATCATTCACTGTTTTTTAGATTTCCCTTAAAAGCTAGATACTTATATAAAAAGAAATTAACTCTTGTCTATTTACTTTTGTCTGCTTTTATTGTAATTTTTACTGTATTTTTTTCTACTCTCCTCCCTTTATTCTATGTATAGTGATTTTCATTATAACCTTTCACAGTCAGTCTGTCAGCCAAATCCCTTCAGGGAAAATAAAAGGGACTTTTATTATAAAGAAGTCTATTTCAAATCCAAAGCACAAACTTACCTGTAGTATTAATCTTGGATTTGGGAGTTTTCTTCTCTCTCTCAGCTGGCATCTTTTGTCTGGTTTTCTTTTCATTTCCTTTGGCTTTCTTCTTTTTCATAGCAAAGTCTTCATCATCATCATCATCTTCACTATAATCTGAGTCTTCTTCTGACTCCTCACCTACAGCAAAGAAGAGGGATGTCATCTCTCTACAGGAAATAAAATTTACTATTACTCCAGGGCCTTTGAATCAGATTCTGGGCATAAATCCCTGAGATATCTTAAGGATACAGTAAAAAAAAGTGCACATATTTATATAATGAACTGAGAAAGAAATAGCCTCCATAAAACATTCTGTATTTACAGCATTCTTGCTCTGTACTTTAATAATGGAAAGCCCTCGTATGAACTGCATACAATAGTGATTTATAGCTGCAGAATTATCAATATTCCACATGGGCAAGATGGAAAAGTTAAAATTACTTGGCAGGGCTTCTGATTTTTACATATTCTTAGTCATGACTACTTCAAGTGGAAAAACGCTCTATCTAACTTTAGCTGTAAGAAAGACTTTATAGATTTATTATTAAAAAAGCCCAGACATTACCAAATTTTAAAAAATAGTTCTCTATCAACAGGAATACCTGGATTATTCCCCTGATATTTTATTTCACTGACAAATCTAGAAATACTTTCCAATAAACCTTCCAGTCAGGAATAAAAGAACGGATGCAGACACGTTAACCCCTGGGCAAGGAGGAGATGCCTACTGCACACCACAGGCATTCAACACTGGGCTGCTACCAGGAGCAGAGTAAGAGGCCAGGCTGACCTGCAGCACAAGTTTACCAAGAGCTGACAACTGGAGGAAGGAAAGAAGGGAGGCTTCCCTTCTTAAAATAAGCTTAAACAAAGCCAATACTGAAAGCATTAGCACCTGACACCACTCCAGAGTCACTGTTTTGTTGCAAACCTCAGACAACAACTGGCAAATGAACAAGGGCTCTTTAAAGAGATTAAACTTTCCTGGACAAAGAGGGTAGAAGAAATTTGTTCTGACATACTGCTGCAAATGCAGAGAAGCAGCATGAGTTTTGCCAGACTGGAGAATGTGTATGAATAAGCTCCGATGTTTAGATTTGATGTCAAAGTGCAATTGAAAAGCCACTAGTATTAAAAAATAATGTTTCAGTATTTGGGAGGGAAGGGAAAATACAGTAGAAGGAGTGTGGGCTTCTCTGAAAAGATGAACTAAAAATGTAAGGCACCACATTCAAAGCACATCTAAGGAGAGGGGTTTGACAGAGAAGAACTTACTTGGTACAGTCTCTGGCTCAGAGTCAGTAGCATGCTCTTCATCATCACTGTCAACAGTCAGTAACTTCTGATGTGCTGCAGCTCCAGATGCTGCTCTCCTTTGCCTACAGGCACCCCTGGGTACTTCATCATCTATAACTCGATTGAGACCTAGAGAACAGAAGGCAGTCTAATTAACTCAAATTCACAGCAAAGCTTTTCTTCTCAAAAAGAAGCAGGTATTTGAGTCCTCAGAATTCATTTCTGTAATTTTAAAGTATACCATCCACAAGCATATTATCTGCACCTGTTTTCATGTGATTCTCACTTTGTTCTTTTAATTGATCAAACTGCACTTTCAGGTAGTGAAAGTTACTGATATTTATCTGTCACCAAGCTAACAAAACCATAGAAGAGCAAAAGTAAAACTGGAGAAAAGAGAAAGTTTCCAGTGGCACAGCACATGTTTTTGTCACTTTTACCCGATGCTTAGGAACTATGGACATATTAAGGAGCTGAGTGTAACTGCAGCTTCTTGAAGAGGTGAATAACCCCACCACATAAAACCACAACATGTCTGTGGTTTTTCCAGATAACTTTCAGTGATCTGTAAAAATCTCATTAAGCAGTTCAAAGGTTTTCCCATTTTAAGACTCAGAGAAAATTTTTCATTAAAAAATTAATACGAATTTCAGTCTTTATTTAAGACTTTTTTTCATTTAAGTGAAAAACAGAAATCAATGGCAATGAGATAAGCTACTTAAAAGTGTCTTGAAATGCTATTTCTGAAAAGACAGAGTATGAGAACAACTTACCTAGAAGATTACTGTCTACACTGCAGTTGGAAAAAAGGGGTCTCCTATGGACATGTTCTGATTCGGTCGCCTTATCTGGTTTAGGATCCAGAAAACAAACAATAATGTAAAATATAAACACATTATAAAAAGGCAAGATGTTAAGAAATTAAAATAGCTAACATTTTAATCTGTCTCTAATCAAACTGTACATTTGGAAGATCTTATAGAAGACTTCTTTTTCTCACAGAAAAAACCATGAACATAAGAAGACAGGCACTACCTAGAGATTCTCATTTCCTATCATGACATCTTGAAATAAAACATGACTTTCAACCTCTTTCACTGTAAAATAAATTAAGTTATGCTCCAGTTCACTACATCTAAATAAAAAACATTGCATTGAACTGTAAAAATAACCTTGTTCTTCTGAATTTTGCTCCTCAAGGATATTTGCAGACTTTTCTTTGACGGATAAGGCTAAGGCAACTTCCAAATCTCTTTGATAAAGTTTGTCATCCAATGATAACCTGGAAAAAAACACCCAGACATGCTAAATAATAAAACAATGACAAGAGTGTTATAGAGCTACTTCTGACTCACTAACCTTTTTTAAATTCAAACACTTGTTACCAGATTAATACTTCAACACATGCTTATAGCATATCAGTCGTATTACTTCCCAGAAAAACTTACACAAAGTATACACTAATATTTAAAGCACACTATACTTAAAAAGTATTACAGTGTCAAACGTTGTGTATATATATACACACTCATCAATGACATTATCAAAGAAAAAGGTGATTACATTTGTTTGAAGTACCACACTGAAATGTAATCTTTATACACAGCTTTACCACCAAAATAACCAGACTTCTTTTGTCCTTGACATTGTGTTTTCTATCAAGCTTTAAATAGGTTCTTTTTTATACGAGTCTAACTTGTCTTTATATTTCTCAGTTTTAGGAGTCCTTAAGTAACTCAGAATCACTACAATTATTTTGCACTGTGAGATATCAAGCCAAGATACAGGCCACATGATGGAGGTTTTTAGAGCTCTAACAGGCAAAGCACAGCTCACTACTGAACTCAGGCAAGCTTTCCTGACTCTGTGAATAATCACATTATCCCTGATATGCAACTACACCAATAAAGCTGAAAATCTTTATCACATTAATATGTTGTTTATTCTCAGCTGCTTAAAACTCTGTGCAAGACAAACAAAACACTAATACTGACATCCTGCTTTATACATAGTTGACCTCATTTCAACAGTTCTTACCTTTTAGTAGGTGTCTGCTTTTGTGATGGAGTCAATTCATTGTGTTGCTTTTTTTGCTTGTCTTTTTTCTCCTTCTTTGGATCCTTGAGCTGTGTTCTGGATTTTTTGTTTGAAGGTGCAGCTATACATGCAAAGTCTTCATCTGTTTGGGAAACAGCAATGAGCTTTAATGAGTTTTCCTATATTCTTCTCTATGACCAAAACAAGTCATTCAACTTAATTTCATCACACACTGAAAATACATTTAAGATAACATTTTCAAAATTAATTCTATTTTTAAAGAACACAACAATTATACTATTCTGAAATGTATTTTAAATGAAAATTTGACAAGACCTCACTGTGTATACTTTTATTCAAGAGGTAATTATTGCATTTTTTATTGCCAATATGGCAATAAAGCTTCAATATCCCATTAATGTGTCACTAGATTTTCAGTAAGTAGAAGTTCACCTTTTGCTATGCTGAACAGCTATCAATCATAACAGTAATTCCTGTCATTAAATAGTTTTGAGTCCTTGGTGTTTTGGGAATTTTTCACCTTCTTAAAAAAAGTCAGCTGCTCCCCTTTTTCTGCTATTTGAATATTGCCCCTTACCAAATACAATGATTTCAAAGAAAATTAGAAAGCATGCCAGTTGCCTTTCTTCCAGCTGAAGACAGTGCAGATCAGTTGTAAAATAAGGAAAAAAATAATAATCTTTAGCATTCACTAAATGATGGAGAGCCTTACATAAGTTCACTAATGTTTCTAAGAATTTACACTTCTCTTTAATATTTCAAATGGACACATTAATTAAGAAGTCATGCACCACACTTAAATTCCTGAAACTAAGAATCACCATTAATCCATATGATTCACAGAACACCTTCAACACTATTTACTTCTGCCCCCCATCAATTCAAACTCCTCCCTGGATGCTGGAAACAGCATGGAAAAAAGCCAAAAGCCCTGTGAAAGCAACTAAATGCTCTAAGAAAAATTTGTAACACCCATCAGGGCTTAGAAGTAAAGACTGCTGTGAAAAAAAATAGCCTATTTTTTTGTATCAATGGAATTCAGTATTTTACTGCTATGTCTTTAACCCAACCTCGTCAAGATATGGAGCTGTAGAAGAAACATCAGATCTAGATAGAAATTCTTCACACTTCCATTATAGTCTCATTTACAATGCCATGAACTGATCATTGGGAAGCTACGGAGCAACCAGTTACCACTGAAAATTGATCCAGGGAGTAAAACAGATTTTCCTGCAACCAGGCACAGTGTATTTACCAATTTCCCGACATACTGCTGTTATACTCCTGCTTACAGACACCATATTCTTGTTGAATTAGGGTATTTAGCAGCATGCCCAGATGGAGTCCAGCAAAAACAGTTAATAGGCTTCTCAATGCTCTCACAAAAACGCTCTGGTGGTATTTTGGGTGGTTACATCAGTGCTTGGCATTTTTGTTATGTATAAGAAAGTGTCACTTACCATCATCTTCCAAATCCCCAAATTGAGAATAATCAACGATTTTCTTATTCCTGTTGCAAAAAACACACATTATTAATCCTTTCAGACTGAGCATCTTGACTTGCTAAGCTTTGATTTTAGGCTAAACGACGTTTTACAAGAACAAAGCAACGCACACGCAAATGTGTGTGAACCACTGCTGCTGCACACAATACTGTTGCTAGGAATAGCCTCTAGATTTTTTTTAAGAAGCAGAATTTTTAGAAAATAAAAGTGCTTTTTGTTGTTCTCGTTGTGGAAGGATTAGATTCTATGTACACACTGCTTCAAAGCTGCTACTGTGCGACGGCCAGTCCACCTCCCTCCCCCGGGTCGCTTTTAGCACCCGAGATGCGCGCCCCTGCGCGTCCCGTGGGCGGTTTCTCCGCGCCGCTGCCGCCTACGCCGCTCCGAGGGGG